AGATGTGTGTTAACATTGACAGTACAAAGTAATTGAGAGATGTGTGTTAACATTGACAGTACAAAGTAATTGAGAGATGTGTGTTAACATTGACAGTACAAAGTAATTGAGAGATGTGTGTCGACCGACAGTGCAAAGTATCTGACCTTGAGAGATGGACAGTACAAAGTATCTGACCTTGAGAGATGGACAGTACAAAGTATCTGACCTTGAGCGCCACGTGGCTCTTCACAAACAGCTCCAGGGACTCTCCGATGCAGGACAACAGCTCAGAGTGCTCCCCCCTGGCCTGCCACAGCCGGTTCTCCGCGGCACACGCGTGGTGGAGGCCCAGCAGCCAGAAGTGGGCGTGTTCTGTCACAACCTGACACAGACAATGACACATGTCACAACCTGACACAGACAATGACACACGTCACAACCTGACACAGACAAAGACACATGTCACATTCTGACACAGACAATGACACACGTCACAACCTGACACACAGACAATGACACATGTCACAACCTGACACACACACAATGACACATGTCAGAACCTGACACACACACAATGACACATGTCAGAACCTGACACACACACAATGACACATGTCAGAACCTGACACACACACAATGACACATGTCACAACCTGACACATGTCATAACCTGACACAGACAATGACACATGTCACAACTTGACACACACACAATGACACATGTCACAACCTGACACACACAATGACACACGTCACAACCTGACACACACACAATGACACACGTCACAACCTGACACAGACAATGACACACGTCACAACCTGACACACACACACAATGACACATGTCACAACCTGACACAGACAAGGACACACGTCACAACCTGACACAGACAATGACACACGTCACAACCTGACACACACACAATGACACATGTCACAACCTGACACAAAGACAATGAACATGTCACAACCTGACACACACACACACAATGACACATGTCACAACCTGACACACACACACACACAATGACACATGTCATAACCTGACACACACAACATACACACAATGACACATGTCATAACCTGACACACACAACATACACACAATGACACATGTCATAACCTGACACACACAACATACACACAATGACACATGTCACAACCTGAAACACACACAATGACACATGTCACAACCTGACACACACAGACAACCATTAAAACATGTCTAATACCAAGAAAGGCAGATAATAACTTCTGCAGCGCCTGCTCCCACACAACACAGCTCTGGACACTGCACAAGACCTTCATCTCCACACAAAACACACCAGATAATGAACACACGTACAAATGGTCTACAGACTACCGCTGACACATAA